GGGGAAAATAACGAAGCAAATGTTCGAAACTAAAATAAAAGTGGAGTTGCGGCGTTGCTTAGCTCTTCCCACAACGCTTAAATCACTATTTCTTTTCAGTTCCCGTTTCAGTGAAAACACGTTAACAAATGTTTAGCTCTTGACACCTCCCACCACCCCACCAATTGCTGCCCTTTTCTCGCAGCGAGCTAAATGTACGGCCCTTGCTTTTGATTGGCTCTTTATGGTCACGTGAGTTACGTGTATAATGGCAGGTGTGGGGGGGGGGGGTCGTGCTGAACCACCTATTGGTCACATTCCCGTAACGCCCGGGTTTCCCAAACTCAAGTCCTCGCAATCCTCCCCTCCCCCAACCCACGCTCCGTCTTTCCGCTTTAACCAATCGACTCCTCCCATTTCGAATCAACTCGTCGCACGCCGCACGCGCCCGATGATTGTTACACACGTCCCCCACGTGACGCGGTAAGCGATGATGTTTGTGTGCATGTTGAATTTCTTTCGCACCGTACGTATCCAACAGCGAGAATCGGCGGAGGTGCGAGGGAAGGACAACAAACTAAGGATTAAGTTAATAGAGGCGATGCGAATTAAGATTTGAGATCTCGGTGCGCGTGCGTGCGTAAACGTGTGTGCGTTCCACGTAACGAAGAGCTGCGGCTGCGTAACCGTGGCAACGTTAGGGCGGTCGTTGCTGGCGGTCATTGCCCCGTTGTCTGTCGTACAAAAATGAAGTTGGCCCAAATCTGGACGAAGCTTTGATCGCTGGGCCCACGTAACGTACGACTGGACATCTGTGGAACAAAGAGCTTAATAAGCTCATTGGATTCCTCCAGTATAAATATTCCGATTTTGTAGAGCTGCCACCGATGGCATCTGGGGTCTGATTCTGGGCTTCAGCTGCCGCAGTGGCGAGATGTCATCTTCCTCGCCTGGTGTACACGGAGGTTGCGGGTTCGATGCCGACCCTTACGCCTGCTGTATATTTGGAGTTTTTGTGTCTTGCTCTCTCTCCCCGTGGCCACGTGGATTTTTCTCCAGGTCCTCTGGTTTCCCCTCCACATTTTTAGAATCAATGTGTGCTTAAGAGCATTTGGCTGCTTTAAATGTCCGCATTATAAGCCACTTCTTTGAGCTATAATTTGTGATTGCCAGGTCGCTTCTAGAAAAAGAGCGACACAACTCAAGAGGGCCTTTCCTGCTAAAATAAAATAAAACCACTGGAAAAATACTGTAGTTTGGTTTAACACTGGTGGTGGTGAGAAGCCAATAACATGTATTGAGATTTTTGGACTCAAAAAAAAACGGCAGAATGTACATACATAATGTACACACAATATACAAACCTTATGTATGCTGATTAACTGTGAATAACCCAACCAATAACAGACATCCATAGTAATTTCTATGCAAACATTCACCCTCCCCCTCTGGTCTTCGCACTCACAAGTGATGACGTCGCATTTATCCCTCTAAGACCGAAACACAGGAGGAGGATTTCTGCACAATTATGGTTGTCGCCTGACGAGGCTGGTTATAATTAAATCGGCGAAACATCACTGTATTAGAATTGTAAATGTTGTAGTGGGTTTTACTCTCCAGCACACAACCGGTGTGTGCTGGACTAGTCACTAATTGGCATGCTTTGTTAACATCACAAGCCTGACTAATTGGCTGTGTGTGTTGGGTGGTGGCGGGTTCAATGACACATTTATATTACGGGATCTAACCCAAAAAGCATGGTCCAATGGTGGATTCTGCGCTCAACATGGAAACAAAACTTCCAACTGTTGAGAATTCCAAAAAAATGTAAACGATCATCTTGACCGCCCGTGCGTAAAATTTTTTTAATTTCTCTGTAGCAGGAAAACGTGGCATGAAAGCGTGGGGCCACTTGAAATGATCTCGGGTTTTTGATAAATATTCCTTCTTGTGGGCTGTGCCCTAACACATGGGGTGGGGGAAGGCGGGGTGCGGGGGCTGAGGCGATGCTCTGTGAGAGTTCCACACAAGACTCTCCCCCATCTGGTACCACAAGCTGAAAGAAAATTTGGAATTAAAATATAATTAACAAAAATAATACTGCGTCAACTAAACGCGCCTCACTCTCCAACCCATGAGCGCTAAACGCCAACAAATACAAACTCCCAGCCAAAGCGTGCCCCTCTTTCACAGCCACGACGGAGGGTAATTTATCGGCCTATTCGATCATACAGGTCCGACGTCCTGAGGAGAGGTGGGAGGGACCCCACACTTTACCACACCGCACTGTGACCTGCCAATCGACAAACTCCGGTGTAACCCGTTCGCACACTGCTGAGCGAACCGAGGTCGGGGGACTACAGAAGAAAAGGAAAACGCTTGTCCCATCGTTTCAACCGTCGCACCGGGGGGTCAATTTGACCCGGTGACCCCTGGATCACAACTCCCCGCTCGATACTCATCAGCAAATGTTAATCGACGTGTATATATTCATCGATTCGCAGCCACTACTATCACTCGCCCACCTGCTTGCTTGCATCATAACGCCATCACTCGCTGGAATAAACATTTTATTTTAAGTCTAGTTGTTCTAATCTACGGTTAGGAGTATCTAATAACGCCATCACTCGCTGGAATAAATATATATTTTTAAGTCTAGTTGTTCTAACTTATGGTTAGAAGTATCAGCTACATATAAAGTATAACATATGTTTGTAGGCACATGTGTATCTGTTTTGTGCGCGTGTAGATACGGGAATCTATGCGTTTCAATTGTACCTGTGCACGCACACGCGTGCGTGTGTGTGCGTATGGGAAAGTGTGGGGAGCAGTGGTGTAAGCGCTGTGCTACGAACCCGGCGACCCGAGTTTGATTCCTACTCATAGCCACCAACAACAGTGACGATTATCTATACCGCTCCTGGGCTCTCCCCTAGGTTGACTCGGCCTCAAATGAGTACCTGGTGCGTAAACATCACGACTGGCCGGGCGTAGTTGATGGCCACACCACCCTCTCGTATTAACGTGCCGGCCTTAATAGGTTCTCGCTAAGAGCACTTGCCCCAAAATCATGTATTGGGGAATCTTTGTCTTTGTACGCATGTATTAAAGTGGCCTACAATTGCACCGAGCCTTGCACAAGTGCTGTGGGTGATGTCCCCGCCACTGCATGGTGAACGGCAGCTGTTATTGTTGTTCTATCATGGTAGTTGTATTTTGTTGTTGTATGTATGTATGCACATGACTTAGTAGCCTCAAACCATTCACTAGAACGGTCTGTGGCTTTAGGCCATTGAGAACTTGCTTAAAGATCAGCACACGCCATTCATTCAGTCACTCACTGACAATACATCGTACTGACTACATAAGCTAACTAGATAATGCACCGATCCAACCCATTTCCCGCCATCCCCCCCCCCCCTCCCACACCGCACCACTGCAGTGGCGTGCTCCTGTGTGCGGCAACAGCCGAGCGAAGCACGGGAGAGTCCAAGTGCGTCGGGGGCCGGTCGGAGTCGGAGCAGGGATTGCTACCCGTCACAGGAACGCCCACACCTCGAGCTGGTTCACGGAGAAGTCCTCCTGCGTGGAGAGGGGAGCGTTGCCGAACGTGTCGCAGTGGTGGCTGCGCCCGTGGTAGAGGTCCGAGTCGAGCCACAGGCCAAACGCTCCCTGGGACGAGCTAGCACAATGGGAAGAGGGACGGGGGGAAGAGGGGATGATGATGAGCGAGCAAGCGGCGGCATTTTAAGGGAGACTCATCACGTTGGCAACGCCCTGGCCGCTGGTCTCGTTGGCCCCGTTTGTTTTGTCCCAAGCTGTACCGCGGCGTGGCTCTCCCTCATTCAAAATTCCGTCACAGTTCCTATGATCACTGTTTCATGGCTTTATTTTGGTGATTTCGAAAAGTATATTGGTTTAGCCATGTTTGTTTGTTGTAGTACAGAGTTAGACTGATGGCCTTAATCTAAGTTGTCTTGTGGTTGTTGTTGGTTGATTGACTTGCATCCCACTGGGATTTTTGCACACAGCGTTGGTGCACTGTTTTGCTGTCTTTTCTTGGATTTCTGTTTGCACTTAGTCACATATTCACTTTAAGATGTTTCTTGTTCCTGTTTTTTTTGTTTGTTGCGGTTGCACCCGATTCAAGAGCCGAATGGCTCACAGGGCTATACCTAATACATGAACTTGACCTTGTTTCCCTGCCCTGACTCCTCCATGCACCCCCCCCTTACCTCCCTTCCACCGTGGTGCAGTCGCTTAAGGACCCTGTACTCGTTCTCCGCAATATTGACGGTGTTTTTGTCTTTTTGTTGTTGTTGCTGCTGTGCTCACGCAGCAGCAGCAAGGGTGTCCCCCTCTCCCGAATAAAATAGCTGAGGAAACTGGCTAAACGGGATCACCATCCGTGCAGCAAATCAAATAAGCAAAAACTTATTTATTCCAACCTGTAAAGTGTCCAGAGATGCGAATGCACTTCGATGATATATATATCATATACAATGTACACATTGTACATGATATGAAGGCATGGGCACCGGCAGACTGGGGACACAATTGGGTAAAATAAGAGTGAGAAGAATAAAACACCAAGACTCCCTCACCTTCCACTTCCCATCCCCAGTGAATCCAGGTCCCCCTTGATGAAGAACGTGTTATCTCCGGTCCAGCGGAAAACCTAAACGACAAAGGCAAAGGATCACATCCCCTGTATAGCCTTCAACAGACTGCTGGGAGCAAGTGCTGTTTTGCGAACAGCACCTATGAATCTTCTTGGTTCTTTCGGTAAAGTCACGTAGAATGGAAATAATAAATAATAAAAATAAAACATAATAAAATAATTCTCACGACGTTTCGGCCACAACGCAAGCAGCCGTCCACAGGTGAAGAACAGGTCTGTCGAGAAGACAGAGTCAGACCTGTTCTTCACCTGAGGACGGCTGCTTGCGTTGTGGCCGAAACGTCGTGAGAATTATTTTATTATGTTTTATTTTTATTATTTCCATTCTACGTGACTTTACCGAAAGAACCAAGAAGATGAATCCCTGCAGTCACGAAAGCTTTAAATCGAAAGCACCTATGAAGGCCGGCAAGGCACCCGAGGGGGTTGGGGTGGCCAGCACCACGCCCCGGTCGCTTGCGTCTCCCCCACACCCCATTGCGAATGTTTTACACACTGCACCAGGTTTTCATTTAAGTCTGAGTCGACCTAGGGGAAGCCCAGGACCGGTTCAGATATTCCATCACTGATGTTGGCCGTGAGCGGGAATTCAATTCGGGTCTTCGGGTTCATAAGGCATCCATCCCAACTCTGATGCCTGTATATTTGCAGTTTGCATGTTCTCCCCGTGGTTGCGTGTTTTTTCTCCAGGTCCTCCAGTTTTTCCCTCCACATTTAGAATAAACATCATGCGTTTCAGAGTATTTGGCTGCTAAACATTTCCACGCGATGATCCACTTCGCTGAACTATCATTTGAGGCCAATGTCGCTTCTCAAAAATAGCTACGCAGCTCAATGAACCTCACCTTGAGGTCGGGGTTAAAGGTGAACAGGAAGCACTCTCCGGTCCCGTAGAAATGTTCGCTGACCTTGAACGGCTCCGAGGCCAAGGCCCCAAACACCTGCAACATCGCAAGATCAGCGATCTCCCATCGTGACCTTGTGTGCCGCGTGCGTAAAACATCACCGCGTTGCACGTGGTGCCGCCTTGGTTTGAGACCGCCGTACCCCGGAGAAGCCAATATCGTGGTCGGAGGACAACGACACAACTGCAAGCAGCGAGTCCTCATTGAACGCGGTCACAGACGCGCTCCCGTATAAATGCCGCGCTCGGCGAATAACGCGGAAGGCGAAAACTATTTCCCAATAAATCATGTAACAATGTGGTTACGATTTACTACGCACAGACAGATGGCGATACAAATTACCGAGGGCACGCCGCCACCGCCGCGTTACTGTATCATTCCACGCACTGTATCACTGTACCGCTCAACCACGCAGCTCAAGAAAGTAGTTTGTCCACAGCTCGGAATCCGCGTTATAACCGTGCGCGTTCCACGTTATAACGGTGCGCGTTCCGCACTATAATGGGACGTGTTCCACGTTATGACGGGATGCGTTGAGTGTTATGACGGTGCACGGTCCGCGTTGTAACGGGGTACGTTTCCGCGTTTTGCAAAAAGTGCTCCCATATGGAAGAACCGCGTATTAGCGAAAATGCGTTATAGTGTGAACACCACGTGTTAAAGCGAGGACTTAACTTACACGTTTTCACCCTTGTTAGGATTAACCAGTGCGGTAGCGCCATCTCACACACACACACTTGCTTGCGTGTGTCCCGTCTCTCACTGGCTCTCGCACACACACACACCCACCTGTGTGTGTCCCGTCTCTCACTGGCTCTCACACACACACACCTGTGTGTGTCCCGTCTCTCACTTGCTCTCTCACACACACACACCTGTGTGTGTCCCGTCTCTCACTTGCTCTCACACACACACACACCTGTGTGTGTCCCGTCTCTCACTGGCTCACACACACACACCCACCTGTGTCCCGTCTCTCACTGGCTCTCTCACACACACACACCTGTGTGTGTCCCGTCTCTCACTGGCTCTCTCACACACACACACCTGCTTGTGCGTGTCCTGCACGGCGAGCAGGACGGGCGAGCTGAGCGGCGCCAGCGTGCGGTACAGCGTGCGCAGGCTTGTGCCGTGCGTTGCCGTCCCGTACTTGAGTTGCCACGGGTAACCCACAGTGCGCGGGGGCAGGTGGCGTGAGAGCTGCTCCACACAAAGGCAAAGATCACCCGTACAGCCTTAAGCGACTGCTGGGGCAAGTGCTGCCAAGCGAGCAACTATGGAGGCCGGCACGGCCACACAAGGGGGTCGGTGGTCAGCACCACGCCCGATCGCCTTCGTCTGCTTAGCGGCGAAGTGTTTACACATCGCACAAGGTACTTATTTTAGGCGGAGTCGACCTAGGGGAGGCCCAGTACCGGTTCAGAAAATCGTCAATGGTGTTGGCCGTGAGCGGGAATCGAACTCGGTGTTCGTAGCACTGCACACTACTGCTCCCAAACACTCCCATACGCACACTAATAGCCCTGGTGTAGGGTATTCAGACTGTCGGGGTAAAATGCTGTTAGCGAGCACTTGTTAAAACCTATTAACAATCAATTCCCGATCACCAAAATATTCTATGGGAACCTCATTTGCCAGTAAAAATATGATAATTGGCTCTTTACCCTTCTATCTGGCAACAAAACTGACACCTTTTTACAAGGAGTCATGTTTGCATAGACCGCAATACCTGCAGTCATAATACAAACAAAAGAACATAACTCTGATAATGTGCACTGTCCTTGAAGTTGATTGGTCCACACCCGAGACAGCTTTCCTTAGAGCCTAGTCTCATATGGGTTGGACCAGATGACGCCAAAAGGCGCCATCTGGTCCAAGCTGTCTCGGGTGTGGACCAATCAACTTCAAGGACAGTGCACATTATCAGAGTTATGTTCTTTTGTTTGTATTATGACTGCAGGTATTGTGGTCTATGCAAACATGACTCCTTGTAAAAAGGTGTCAGTTTTGTTGCCAGATAGAAGGGTAAAGAACCAATTATCACCAAAATATTGTCGAGAGCTCCCTCCAGCAGAGGCCCTTCCGCCAGCAGTGGCGTGAGCCAGGCAACTGCAGGACTGCGCGCCTTTGCCGGCCCAATCACCAGCATCGCCGTTAGGATCGTGGCCCTGATTGTGACCTCTCAACTCGGACTCTTTGGACCCACCTGCTCCACGTGGAACTGCTGCAGGACGTTGCTTTGGCCAATCAGGAGGGGCCTCAGGACCTCACCCTCCGGATCCGGGGCTGCCCCGTGAGATTGCCGGTTGGGATTGGTCTTCACATTCACCACCTGGATAGGGAATTGCACCCATGAAGAGAAAGACAAAGATCCCCCCTATAGCCTAACAAGACTGTTGGGGCAAGGGCTGTTAGCGAGCATCTACGAAGGCAGGCTCGGTACACGAGGGGGTGGGCAGCCAGGACCACGCCCGACCGACTTTGTCTCTCCAGTGGCGAAGTTTACACACTGCACCAGGTACTCATTTCAGGCCAAGTCGACCTAGGGTAGGCCCAGGACTGGTTCAGATAATCGTCACTGGTGTTTGCCGTGAGAATTGAACCCGGGTCGCTCCCCACGACACACATAAACAGACATATATACACACACAGACCCCCGTGTATCCCTATATACACCAGGGCTGTGGAACCTCTGGTCCACGACTTGGAATTAATTCCGTAGCGCTTCTCAACCAGTGGATCGCGACCCCTGAAAGTCTTTGCCTTTTCAGCGGGTGCGCGGCATGGATACTGTGCAGGGGAGATTTTAGAATGTGCACGGGGGGTGGGTGTCAGCGCCACATTGCAGTGATGAAAACACACTAACATGCAATGTGATACAAATGCCTTGCTGAACTAGTAACCAATTGGCATGTTTTGTTTACGTGACAAACCTTACTAATTGTCTGTGTCGGGTGGTGGCGGGTTTAACGACACATTTATATTTATGCGATCTAACCCAAAACACCTCTATTATGGATAATACTGATCGCGAAAGCCTACGTGTTAAACTGCCTTGCTAACATCGCGTTGACTAGCGACGTTGACATGTGATTTCTCTGTGCATTCCGACCTTAGTAACATGAGGCGGGGGGGGGGTGTGGGAGATACAGGGTGGGCAAGTGGGGGGGGGCATAGGGATTAGTGGTTTATATTTTTGAAAAACTATAAACTACATTTTATATTTTACCAGGTAAGGTCCACTGAGCTATACAGCTCTTTTTCAGAAACGACCTGGCCACAAATGATAGCTCAACAAAGTGGCTTATCACGTGGAAATTTATAGCAGCCAAATACTCTAAATGCATGTGGAAGGAAAAACAGCCGGACCCGGAGAAAAATCCACGTGACCACGGGGAGAACACGCAAACTCCAAATATACAGACGTGAGGGTTGGGATCAAACCCACAACCTCATTCATACCAGGCGAGGTAGTTACACATCTCGCCACGCTACCCGGAATCGTGAAAAAATTAACCCGTAAAAACAAAGTTTTTCACTATAAATCCTTTATATGCGTGGCGGCTAGAGTCCTCTCGTCCTCTGGCTTGAGATGGCTGCCACCTATGGGTCAGATGATTGCCTGCCACCATTAAGCAATTGGTAATTAAATATAATTAATTTTTTCCTAAAAAGTGTAACATTTTGGAAAAAAAATTTTCACGAAAATAAATTGTCACGCACAACGAGTCTGTGTGCAAAATGTCAGCTCGATTGGATCACGGGAAGTGGGTTAAAAAACCACCGAAAAATGTGCACGGTCGTAAGCGCACAAGCAAGCAAGCAAGTGAACTTAATATAAAGGATTTAAAAAATGTGTCGGCTCACATGGGAGGTGAACGATCAAGTCCCTACCTGCCAGCCTCCGTCTTCCTTGCTGTAGTAATCCTCTATCATGTCCATCACGACCTCGGCCTTCACCAACACGCACACTCTCCTTCCTGTATGGACGCACGCACGCACGTGTCGCGAGCGAGTGAGCGGGAGGGAAGGGTGTGTACAGAGGTTGGCTGGGAGGCCCAGGAGGCTCACAATGGGGCCGTGTCGGAGACGCTCAGCCGGCGCTGCCGACATCCTGGGTTCGAACCCGGGTGCCAGCCGCCTGTGATTAAACCGGGTTCCCCCAGATGCAGTGAGTTGATGAAGGTCTCAACCTGGTCACCGACGACTACAATAAAAAAAATATCACGTTAAATGTGGCTTTTGTAGCGATGAAAATTGACAGGTGGTGAATGCTTTCTGCTGGGCCTGCAAAGGGTGTCCTGATGTGGATAAAGAAGATGCAGAACATAGGTGTGTGTGTGGGTGTGCAGAACCAGTTAGATAAAGATCCCTCATATAGCCTTAACAGACTATAGGGGCAAGTGCTGTGAGTGAGCTCCTATGAAGGCCGGAACGGTATACGAGGGGGTGGGTGGCCAGCACCACGCCCGACCGCCTTTGTCTCCCTAGCGGTGATGCTTACACATCGCACCAGGTACTCATTTGAGGCTGAGTCGACCTAGGGGAGGCCCAGGATCGGTTCAGATAATCGTCACTGGTGTTTTCCGTGAGCGGGAATCGAACCCGGGTCGCCGCTCCTCAGTTAGACACACACAGAGACGTACATTTTGTGATTAAACAATGATACAGTCAACAAAGATTCTCCCCCCCCTCCGTGTAGCCTTTCGCAGGTTTGTTGGGCAAGTGCTATTCGCGAGCACCTATGAAGGCCGGCACGGCACACGAGGGGGCAGTGTGGTCAAGACCAGGCTCAACCATCTGTCTCCCCAGTGCTGCATACACACCGCACCAGGTACTCGCTTAAGGCCGAGTCAATGTAGGGGAGGTTCAGAACAGGTTCAGATATCACTCGTCACTGATATTAGCCATCGTCGGCAATCGAGCTCAGGTAGCTGGATACTAAGCGCAGCATGCAAACCGCTATGCCAACACTCTACCGCATAAATACACATACATAGGCATTGCATCACTCTCGCACAAACACACACACATGCGCAACAAACCAAAACAAACACACACGTACAGTACGCAATCATGCTTTTAGCTAATTTCATGAACACCGGCAAAAAGGTCTGCAAAGTGGCAAACAACTAAGAACACCCACAGCAGATAAGAACACATTTCTTGAATTGAGCAAGTTTATAGGACCTCAGGGAAAGAGACGGCGAGAGGCTAGAAAGTCAAGGGCCACGCAGGTACTAGGCAACCTTTGTCTCTCCCACAATCACGTGGCAGCAAGTACTGATTGTAGACAGAGTTGATCCAGCAAAGGCCAGTTTCAGAAATCAACAAGCCACGTGGCCAGGAATCGAACTCACGTTGCCGATTGTAGCACAGGGTGCTCAAGCCACAGCACCATCGCTCCAAAGATAAAGATCTCCCATGTAGCTACTACAAGCCGTATAAGCAAGTGCTGTTAGCGAGCACCTATTAAGGCCGGAATAGCAGGGGGGGGGGGGTGGTGGTGTGGCCAGCACCATGCCCAGCAACATTTATCTCCCCAGTGCTGATGTTTACACACCCCACCAAGTGGTCATTTCAGGCCGAATCAACACAGGGGAGGCCCAGGACAAATTCCGATATCACTCACCGCTGATGTTGGCCGTGGCTGACAAACCGAGCCAAGGTCGCTGGGGGTACGTAACGCAATGCGCTAAACACTGTACAGCCGCTGGCACCCGTCAATGTAATCACCAGCCATGCTCTACCCACTGCTGGACAAAGGCCAACAATCGATCTAGCTGCTGCCCACAAGGTGAACGGATTACTTCTGCTCTGCGGTAAACGCACGCTCGGTTCAGGCGTTTTTCTCTCTCGTTTGTCTGTCACACCCGTAGCGAGTCTCGATGTCGAGTCCGTGTCCCAAGCCCACTTACTTTTCTTAACAGCATATAACAGTCACTGTTTTCTCCCCCCCCCCCCCCCCTACAGCCACACAGAGGTTGTTTTAAGGTGATCGAGCACAAAACGACCATACACACACACGTACAAATGTTTACATGTCAACACAAGATTCCAAATCTGTTATTGCCACAAAGTCATGGGTGACTTCACATTCCACTCAAGCTGGAATTGTATAACTGTTGTTGGGAAATTGTGGGGGGGGGGGGGGGGGTCCAAATAAAAAACATGTTTTTTGGATCGGTCTACTTAAACACAACTAGGGGTCGGCACGGTTTGGCTCAAACCACCAAACCGCGGTTTGAACCGAACCAAATCGGTTTGGTTTGGCTCTGTTTGAACTGGTTCGGTTTGGTTTGGGGCTACGAAAACCGACTCGGTTTGGCTCGGACAGGGTGGAACCGGCTCAAACTAGTTTGGTTGGTTGTAAAGGCCGAGTACAGCAATATCAAGGACATGATGACGGACATTCTCAACCAGCGCTACCCAGCGTTGACGACGGACGCGGCGCCGAAGGCGGCGCCGCGTGGCGGCATTAACATCCTCTTTGACATGGTCTACGCGCCCAACGCTCACGACGGCGCCGCCTCCGAGGTCGACCGCTTCCTGCTTGAGCCGACTCAGGACCTGAGCATGGACGTCGTCGAGTGGTGGAAGCTGTACGGCGGCAAGTACCCGCGCCTGCGACGCGTGGCCCTCGACTATTTGCCTATCCCGGCGTCGTCCGTGCCCTCCGAGAGAGCAAACTCGGCCGCCAAGCGCTCCTTTCTCGACCGACCAAACCTGCACAAGTGCACGTTCAAGGCCGAGATGTGTGTGCGCTCGTGGGCGCGGATGTTGCCTAGTGTTGGGGTTTCACTGCCATTGAACTACCACACTGCGTTCAAGGACATTGGGCGTGCCAAGCTTGAGGAGATGGCTGTGGACGACATCGTCGTCCAGTACTTGCTAGTGAATCTCAATATGAAGAAAGCCTGCGTAGAAATTAGCGATTAATACACTTGATATTTGTATTGAATGCGAATATTGTTTGCCGCGCATCTTTTCGGTTCAAGCCAACTCAAGAGGTTTGGTTTAGCTTAGTTTGGTTTGGTTTGGTTCAGTCGTCGCTGGTTTGGTTTGGTTTGCTCAATTTGAAACCAGTTTGAGTCGGTTCAAACCGTGCCGACCCCTAAACACAACTATATTTGTGCCGACTTTTAGATTTCCAACCGTCACAGACCATCTTCTTTGTTCTTTCGGTAAAGTCACGTAGAAGTCACATAGAAGGGAAATAATAAAATAATAAAAATAGAACATAATAAAATACAATTCTCACGACGTTTCGGCCACAACGCAAGCAGGGAAATAATAAAATAATAAAAATATAACATCATAAAATACAATTCTCACGACGTTTCGGCCACAACGCAAGCAGGGAAATAATAAAATAATAAAAATAGAACATAATAAAATACAATTATCACGACGTTTCGGCCACACAACGCAAGCAGCCGTCCTCAGGTCCTCAGGTGAAGAACAGGTCTGTGGCCAAAACGTCGTGAGAATTGTATTTGATTATGTTCTATTTTTATTATTTTATTATTTCCTTTCTACGCGACTTTACCGAAAGAACCAAGAAGATGAATCCCTGCAGTCACGAAAGCTTTAAATCGAAATTCGTCACAGAACACTTCTGGAATCTGCATCATTAGTTACAAACTGGATGAGATTTAAGCGACTATGTGGATACAAATTTGGGATCAGCAACACGTACAAGTATGGCTATTCTGGCCCCTGCCGTTGGAATGTGGAATTACCACCAATGGATCTAGGAAGGGAGATATGACTTTTGATTTCACAGGGTTAGAGTCAGGGTTAGGTGACACAGGTAAAGTTAGGGTCACTATCAGGTTTCGGGCTACGGTCAGGATTATGGCCAGTGAGAGGCACTGCTGGACAGAGGTCGCAAACGGGTTTTGTTTCCTTACCCGTACCCGGCCGCACCAGGGTCGCAAATGGGTACCTGTACCCGGGTACCAGTACCCGGCCGGGTACGGGTACCCATTCCCTACCCGTACCCTACCCAAAATGAGTGACAAACGGTTACTCACCAGTGACTCACGGCCTACCCGTACCCGGCCACACCAGGGTCGCAAACGGGTACCCATACCCGCCCGGGTACGGGTAGCCGGGTATCGGGTAGGGTACGGGTGTCGGGTACCCGGTTGCGACTTCTGCTGCTGGATGAGGGCATCGCCCACGCCATGGCAGTCACGGGCGCTTATTTTTACACGCTTTTAATTTATTTAACTCAATCCGTCTGTTGTCGTATCCTTAAAAAATCTTGTAACTCAATTTTACCCACTTCCTAATGTGCTATCGACTGCAAACTTGGTATACTTATGTCATACTGATGACAAGACTATGTTCTATCATAAAAAAAAAATTTTTTTAAACATTTTACACGCTTTTGTTTAACTCACTGTCTGTTGTCGTATCCTCAAATCTTGTAACTCAATTTCAACCGTCTTCCCAATGTCGTATCTACTGCAAACTTGGTAGTGGTATGTCATACTGATGACAATACTATATTCTATCATTAAAATTTATAAAATATATTTTTAAACAATCTTTTTTACGGGTCTAATTGTCCACGCTCAACTCACGTTGGCTGTAAATCACCACGGCCCCTTACGCTATGGCAAGCTGCGGGGCCACTTCCTGGAGTCGTGGAGTTCTGCCATTATGAGTACGGTACATTTCATTAAAGCGTGTTTAAAAAAAAAGTATTTTTAAATATTGTATTAACAAACTTAACCACGCTGATCAGTGGGGCTTGCTGAAAGTGAACGGACATACGAGAGCATAAGAGAGTGCAGTACAATGGATTTTGCCACACTTCCCACTGACGCCAACAACGTAGCCACGTGGCAGCCTATAACAACACACCGCTGTGCACGGCGATCGCCCAAGAATTTTATCGAAAGCTCAACCGTATTTAGCTTCCGAGATGTGTGGAGATTAGGCACATTCCCTGGTGACTTAGTCATATGTTATTTGGTGGAAAATTCCGCACAAGTAATTTAAGGCAGTCGAGGGGAAACCATTTAATTAATTCGGCCACGCTCAAGTTCAGCCCCTTCATCTCGCTTAGGGCCCCAATAACATGATTAAGAGTGCTCCAACTGGCCCCCGTCACGCGAATGTGGAACTTCCACCGATGGTTCTAGAAAAAGGAATATTTGACATTTTGGTTATGGGGTTAGGCTTGGTGTTAAGCTCAGGGTTCGGTTCAGAGTTAAGTCAGGTCAAGGGCTATATGGTGAGGATAACGGTCAGTGAGAGGGTCAGGGTTACAGTCAGGGGCACAGAATGATATATTGCCCATTTTGACAATCCACTGATAGACAGAGGTCGCAACCGGGTATCCGATACCCGTACCCTACCCGATACCCGGCTACCCGTACCCGGCCGGGTACGGGTAGGCCGTGAGTCACTGGTGAGTCACCGTTTGTCACTCATTTCCCAATTCAAGTTACTAGAATCAATCCACCCGCGCCTGCAACATGGCTTCATCCCAGAGGTCGCAATCGGGTACCCGTTCCCTACCCGTACCCTACTCGAAATGAGTGACAAATGGTTACTCACCAGTGACTCACGGCCTACCCGATACCCGGCCGGGTACGGGTAGGCTGTGAGTCACTGGTGAGTCACTGTTTGTCACTCATTTCCCAACGTCTTGTCTCACAATTCAAGTCCCTAGAATCAACCCACCCGCGCCTGCAACATGGCTTCATCCCAGAGGTCGCAATCAGGTACCCGTTCCCTACCCGTACCCTACCCGAAATGAGTGACAAACGGTTTACTCACCAGTGACTCACGGCCTACCCGATACCCGGCCGGGTACGGGTAGCCGGGTATCGGGTAGGGTACGGGTACTCGTTTTCGACCCTGGTGCGGCCGGGTACGGGTAAGGAATCAAAACCCGTTTGCGACCTCTGCTGCTAGATGAAGGCCACCCCACGCCCTGCAGCTAACGGGAGTAGTTTAAACATAGAGTACTTAAAAGTGCTGCTAAATGGGGGCCCTTGTCATGCCGTCCTGGCTCGTGGCTGCGAGGGGTAATGCATAGCTGTCAAACCCTTATCAGTGCCAATCTTATTACAGACCAATTCATTCTTTATTGGTCACCCCGTGCCACTTGTAAATTTCAACGCTCAACCTACAAAGTCCCATCACAAGGGAGAAACATAAAAGACAAAAGTTACGTGACTAAAGAAAAACTGTTTAATGTATTAATTTTTATTTTGACAATTGGTGTCAATGATGCTACTTATCATGCTACTGTCTGTGATCTTGTATGCTGATGCTGCTTGCTTGATATGTGGATGCACACACATTACTGTCAACCCCTTATCACTGCCCCTACCTTATTACAGACCAATTCAGACCTTATTGGTCACCCCGTGCCCCTTATACATCTCAACGTTCATACTACAAAGTCCCATCACAAGGGAGAAACACAAACAAATAGACAAAAAATAATGTTTCCCGTATCGAAACGGCTGTGCGTCGTATGGACCTTAAAACTAAATTTCCCTGTACAAGAATACGGGGTAAACCCTATGGGTTTGACAGCAATGGTAAACATGACCACACGTCACTACGCCGGTCCAGCAAGTGGGTTAAACATGTCAATTGCATCCGTTACAAAAACAACAAAATATACCACGGCCACAGACGGATTATAACATCAAAAAAACAACCCCACGTGCATTTTAAAGCTCCGCCATTTCAAAAACAATGGCAAGTTGGGCAATAAGAGCATTGGTTAGCGCTAAAATTATATACAGTACGGGTTAATTTCTCACCATCGTAGCGTGTGTCGTTGGGTGGTGGATGTGTGGGTGGGTGGTGGATGGGTGGGTGGTGGATGGGTGGGTGGTGGATGGGTGGGTGGTGGATGTGTGGGTGGATGTGTGGGTGGATGTGTGGGTGGGTGTGTGGGTGGATGTGTGTGTGGGTGGATGTGTGGGTGGGTGGTGGATGTGTGGTTGGTGGATGGGTGGATGTGTGGGTGGGTGATGTGTGGGTGGGTGGTGGATGTGTGGGTGGGGTGGTGGGATGTGTGGGTGGGTGGATGTGTGGGTGGATGTGTGGGTGGGTGAATGGATGTGTGGGTGGGTGGTGGATGTGGGGGTGGGTGGTGGATGTGTGTGTGGGTGGATGTGTGTGTGGGTGGAAGTGTGTGTGGGTGGAATTGTGTGTGGGTGGGTGGTGGATGTGTGGGTGAGGGATGTGTGGGTGGGTGGTGGATGTGTGGGTGAGGGATGTGTGGGTGGGTGGTGGATGTGTGGGTGGGTGTGTGGATGTGTGGGTGGGTGGATGGTGGGTGGGTGGTGGATGTGTGGGTGGTGGTGATGTGTGGGTGGGTGGTGGTGGTGGGTGGTGGATGTGTGGGTGGGTGTGGATGTGTGGGTGGGTGGTGGATGTGTGGTGGGTGGTGGATGTGTGGGTGGGTGGTGGATGTGTGGGGTGGTGGTGGGTGGGCTGGATGTGTGGTGGGTGGTGGATGTGTGGGTGGGGGTGTGGATGTGTGGGTGGGTGGTGGATGTGTGGGGGGGTGGTGGATGTGTGGGTGGGTGGTGGATGTGTGGGTGGGTGGTGGATGTGTGGGTGGTGGTGGATGTGTGGGTGGGGATGTGTGGGTGGGGTGGATGTGGGATGTGTGGGTGGGTGGTGTGTGGGTGGGTGGGATGTGTGGTGGGTGGTGGATGTGTGTGGGTGGATGTGTGTGTGGGTGGATGGTGGATGTGTGGGTGAGGGATGTGTGGGTGGGTAGGTGAGTGGTGGATGTGTGGATGTGTGGTGGATGTATGGGTGGGTGGTGGATGTGTGGGTGGGTGGATGTGGGTGGGTGGTGGATGTGTGGGTGGGTGGTGGATGTGTGGGGGTGGATGTGTGGGTGGTGGATGTGTGAGTGGTGGATGTGTGGGTGGGTGGTGGATGTGTGGGTGGGTGGTGGATGTGTGTGTGGGTGGGTGGTGTATGTGTGTGTGGGTGGGTGGTGGATGTGTGTGTGGGTGGGTGGTGGATGTGTGTTGGGTGGGTGTGTGGTGGATGTGTGGTGGATGTGTGTGTGGGTGGGTGTGTGTGTGGGTGGTGGATGTGTGGGTGGGTGGTGGATGTGTGGGTGTGTGGGTGGGTGGTGGATGTGTGGGTGGTGGATGTGTGGGTGGTGGATGTGTGGATGTGTGGGTGGTGGATGTGTGGGTGGTGGATGTGTGGGTGGGTGGTGGATGTGTGGGTGTGTGGGTGGGTGGTGGATGTGTGGGTGGTGGATGTGTGGGTGGGTGGTGGATGTGTGGGTGTGTGGGTGGGTGGTGGATGTGTGGGTGGTGGATGTGTGGATGTGTGGGTGGTGGATGTGTGGGTGGTGGATGTGTGGGTGTGTGGATGGGTGGGTGTGTGGATGGGTGGATGTGTGGATGGTGGATGTGTGGTGGATGTGTGGGTGGTGGATGTGTGGGTGGTGGATGTGTGGGTGGTGGATGTGTGGGTGGGTGGTGAATGTGTGGGTGGGTGGTGAATGTGTGGGTGGTGGATGTGTGGATGTGTGGGTGGGTGGTGAATGTGTGGGTGGTGGATGTGTGGGTGGGTGGATGTGTGTGTGGGTGGGTGGATGTGTGTGTGGGTGGGTGGATGTGTGGGTGGGTGGGTGGATGTGTGGGTGGGTGGTGGATGTGTGGGTGGGTGGTGGATGTGTGGGTGGTGGATGTGTGGGTGGATGTGTGGGTGGGTGGTGGATGTGTGGGTGGGTGGTGAATGTGTGGGTGGTGGATGTGTGGGTGGGTGGTGGATGTGTGGGTGGGTGGTGAATGTGTGGGTGGTGGATGTGTGGGTGGGTGGATGTGTGTGTGGGTGGGTGGTGGATGTGTGGGTGGGTGGTGGATGTGTGGGTGGTGGATGTGTGGGTGGATGTGTGGGTGGGTGGTGGATGTGTGGGTGGATGTGTGGGTGGTTGGTGGATGTGTGCTTCACTGGGGAGCGGTGGGTGTAGCGGTTAGCGCGCTGCGCTACGAACCTGACGATCCGGGTTCGATTCCCGCTCACGACCAACACCGGTGACGATTGCCTGAACCGGTCGTGGGCCTCCCCTAGGTCGACTCAGCCTCAAAACGAGTACCCGGTGCGATGTGTAAACATCGCCACTAGGGAAGACAAAGACGACCCGGCCGTGATGTTGGCCCACCCACCCCCCTCGTGTACCGTACCCCGACAGTCTGTCACGGGCTACACGGGCGATATTTTTGTTCGCACTGTAACAACAACAACAACACGACGTCCACAGTGATCCGCTACGAAGGGGGGGGTGAGGTGGTGGGGATTGACTGTGGAAGTTTAAAAACGACGGCGCTCACCTGAAACTTCCACATCGCCGCCTCAGCGTTCGCGGGGCGCGAAAGTCCAAGAACTCCGCTCCCTTTGCATTTCCCAGCGCGCTTAAGCGGGCGGCCCGCGACCCATTTGGCCCCGTCAGCCAATGGGGGAAGCCGACGCGTCGCATGAGAGGGTGCGGGGGGGGGCGTGGGGGGTGGGTGGGGTTTATCCGCGTTGGGTTTTACAATCCACGTCAACGGACACTCCTATTGGCTGGTTAAGTTGGGGGTTAAGGCCCCCCACCCCCACTCCTCGGCCCTCTTATATTGCCATGGAAATAGATGCCCTCCCCCCCTCCCACTTAATTGATAATGTCTTCTGTAGTAAACGTGTGGGACAGACAACGGTTTGTGTTTTCATACTTGTTGAGAAATAATTGCACAAATGGATAGCAGGATATGACAGTTAATGTATAACGGGCGCGTGCTGTATTTAAATTGAAATAATTTCACTGAAGTAGTGAGAGGAAAATAAACAGGCCGAGAATCGATTAAACAAAAACTAAACATTGTAAGATGAAACGCACTCGTTTCGTGTGGTTAGGAATTAGATCGCAAGATCGGGTAATCGACTTTGAGGTTCGGAAAAACACGTGGTTCGTGTTTTAGACACGCGTGCAGGATGGGTGACTCCGGCTTGACTCATTGATTCCTCCACGCATGTTGAGGACTCGCTCTCCTCCGCAACTGGCTGTTTCGTCTCATCCACCACACTCACCCACGCACTCATTCAACCACCCACCCACTCACTCAACCACGCACCAACTCACTCAACCACGCACCGACTAATTCAGCCACTCACTGAACTACCCAGTCACTCACCCACCAACTCAATCACTCACTCAACCACCCACTCACTCAACCACCCACTCACTCACTCACCCACTCACTCAACCACCCACCAACTCACTCAACCATGCACCCACTCATTCAACCACTCACTGAACTACCCACTCACTCACCCACCCACTCAGCCACTAACCCACTCAACCACCCACCCACTCACTCAACCACCCACCGACTCATTCACCCACTCATTCACCCACCCACTCACTCAACCACCCACCATTCACCCACCCACTCACTCAACCACCCACTCATTCACCCACCCACTCACTCAACCACCCACTCACTCACCCACCCACTCACTCAACCACCCACTCACTCACCCACCCACTCACTCAACCACTCACCCACCCACCCACTCAACCACTAACCCACTCAACCACCCACCCACTCACTCAACCACCCACCGACTCATTAACCCACCCACTCATTCACCCACCCACTCACTCAACCACCCACCGACTCATTCACCCACCCACTCACTCAACCACCCACTCATTCACCCACCCACTCATTCACCCACCCACTCACTCAACCACCCAACGACTCACCCACCCACTCACTCAACCACCCACCCACCCACTAATTGAACCACCCATTGACCCACACACTCACCACAATGCTAGACTATGGAACTCCCTTCAACAAACACTCCCTCAGATCGTCTCCCCACCCCTCCCTGGCCCTTACAACCCCTGCTTAATTTAAAAATAAAAAAACATGATCTGGTGCACAAATAGAAATAGCAAAAGAACACCGCCTGACATTAACAGGATCATTATATGAGACGACGTTTCGGCCAACGACTCTACTCAACAGTGACATAAACCAATTCAAGAAACACGTTAGCTGATCTATGAGAATCACGTCCGTACCTCGTTATCTATTACAACTTTGTGCTGTTTGTTGCTGGACGTTTGACGTTCTAGGCCACAAGGCGCTGCGCTCGGCAACTGCGTAAAAAAAAAGAACAAGTATAACCCGTAAAAACAAAGTTTTTCACTATAAATCTGTAATGCGGTTGTAAACGGCCCTTCTGAGGTGCCGTCAGGGGGGGAGGAGTTAGGTCACGTGGGGGTCAGAGGGGTTGATATAGAAGGAGGGGAACCGGAAGAGCAAGAGGAGTGACGGGGAACCAGGAACAGAGGAAGGCCACGAAGGGCGAAGCGGGGTGTGGCGAGATCGCCACGAACACGGGGGGAGCGAGGATCGGCACCGTTGGCCAGCGGTGACCGACCCGAAGCAGCGAGGAGGCTGCAGTCAGCAGCGGGGCTGCACAGAGAGGGTGGGCAGCGGGTCTGCATACAGTGACAGCCAGAGGGTCTGCACATAGGGGTAGCAGCGAGTCTGCAGGGAGGAGGTTACAGTAGATGAAGCAGAGAGTCAGAGGGGAGAGGAAGCTATAATAGCAGTGAATAGCCGGGGGCTACAAATACAGGAGTTATAACAGAGTGCCGTGTGGGTAAAGACGTGAACCTGAATAAAGACACGAAGACAGAGAGAAGTGTTCGAGTCCTTTTATTACACTGGAGTCAGAAGTGAAACGGCATGGCGAAACAACTGAGGAAGAAGAATATCCCATCTCCGGCGTCGGCTTCATCATCGGACGACGACGATCTTCCTCCTGAGGTCGGCTTCACTTCGGCGGAGGGAGAGATCCGTGAGGGCCCGGGTGTGGAGGAGGTTGCCGCTGCGTCTGACCCATCTGCGTTGAAGGACGAAGATTTAAGATGGACCCGGATGGCGGAGCAACTGGCGACCCTAAAAACCGTCATCACGGAGTTGTGTGACCTTGTCACGCCAAGGGCGGCGTTGGAAGGTGATGGTGGTGATCGGCAGGAGCCCGGGTCGTCTTCGATGGCGCCGCCATCGGCCACGCGGCGTGAAGACGCCATCTTGGGCGTGGCGCACCACGGAAGGCGGGAAGCCGCCATTTTGGGGCCGCCACGAGGATCGTCCGCCATCTTGGCGACACCGCGTTGCGATGCCTTGCTGAACTTGCCGCCGGAAGAGTCGGTGACGGACGGAAGCAGGCCAAGGAGCCGCAGTCGTCACCTTACAACTGTTAAGGAGTTCTCCATCGGGGGCGATTGGAGTGCGTTCGCTTGTCGATTTTTGGCGGCGGTACGAACGGCAAGGTGGACGGACGCCGAGGCGCTGGAGGTGCTTCCGACTCTCCTTGACGATGAGTCTGTTCGTTTTTTTTCGCTCTATAAAAGCTGCGAAGAAGAAAACATTGCGTGGAGTGTTCGACGAAATGGCGGACGCGTACGAGCCACCGGATGACGCCCATCGCCGCTTCGTGCAGCGGCAACGCGCACCGGAGGAGTCGCCTGTAGCGTACAGGGGCGCCGTGCTGGAACTCGCGATGGCCGCTTACCCGGACACGGAGCCTGACCTGCTGGAACCTCTCATCTTGGGGAAGATGTTGGAGTTATCCCGGGATCTGGGCATTCCTATGCCGGCGTGCGGTCACGAGAAACTCACGTCCCGGACCGTGGCCAAGTGTTTGGACGCCCAGTTCAATCTCCGCCGCTGGAAACAAGTCACGGCGTGGACGGGCGGTCCTGTCGTCGATGGGGGGGCCGTAGGGTGGGACCCTACAAAGGCCGTGTACGTGCCGGATGCGACCGGCCCAAAGGAGCTGTCGGCCGCCTCCACTCCGTGGCCGGCTCGAAGCGGGCCGGGGCCGCGGGCTCCGCCGCCGGCGCGGCCACGTCGGGACGGGGGGCCTGCTGCGCGCCGACCCGACGTCGACTGTTTCCGCTGCGGCCGTCGGGGCCACTATGCCAGGGACTGCTGGGCCCGGGTTCCGGGGCCACCCCAGCAGGAGGCCTCGATTGCGGACGCCCCAAAGAAAGACCCTCCGGCACAGGCAAGTCGGTGCGCACCAGACACCCGGCAAGGCCTGACACCTCACTCATCGCCGTTGTTGTGCGACGCGGATGTTCTAGAATATGGGAGGCCAGTATCTGCGCCTTGTCGCTCGATAACGCAGTGGCGTAAGTTGGCTCGGCGGGTTGTCGCGGCCGCTACAGGTTCGTCCACTGTACCGGGGTCGATCCAAGGGGTGGACGTGCGTATTTTGGTGGATTCCGGGGCGTCCGCGACCATTATTTCGGATGTCATATTCCATCTTTTGAACATCCCACCGGGGGCCGTGAGGCCAGCTTACGCTTCCTGCATCGCTGCGAACGGGGGTAGTATGGGCATCGTGGGACAGGTGGACGCTAATATTTCTATCGGGGGGGTCTCGGCCTCGGGCGTTGTGTTAATTTCGAGGTCCCTGGCGGTTCCTTGCTTGTTGGGCACGGATTTTTTTTGGCTAAGATGCCCATTCTAATTAGAATCAATGAAAATTGCATTGAACTACCAGGGGGCCGCAAATTGGCGTTTTTACAGTCCACCTGGGGGCGACCGGCTCCGGTTGCCCAGGTGCAGGCGTTATCGGAAGTTTCAGTTGATATTCCACCTGGCTCGCAGATGCTCATTCCCCTACGATACCGGAAGCCGGTTCCGGGTCGGCAGGGTGCTTGTGGAATTTTGCTGTCGCCGTCCGCCGCTGTTACGGGCGGATTGGCACTGGTGGGGGCGCAAACCATTGTCCGTCCGGATCAACGCCCGTTTTTGCAGGTGTTAAATGCGAGTTCTGAAAGCGTGTGTGTGCCGGCTGGTACCGTTGTGGCACACACCACTACGGCGTTTACGGCTCAGAGTGACATTCCGGACGGGGGGCTGGTGGGTGGTGTTTCACACGACGGAGGGGTGGACGATCGTTGGATCGCCGAACTATGTGCGGAAAATTCGGCCCTTTCCGCTGAGCAGCGTTGTGCGATTCATAAATTATTAGCGAGCTATTCCGATGTGTTTAGCTCGGACGATTTGGACTTGGGACGCACCTCGCTGCTCTCTCATCACATCGAAACGGGGTACGCGGCCCCTATCCGCTTGAACTCGCGTCGGATGAGTCCGGCTGAGCGTGAGCACGTTCGAGAGGCAGTGGAAGACATGTTGAAAGCGGATATTATATCTCCGTCTAATAGCCCGTGGGGCGCGCCTGTCGTGTTGGTTAAAAAGAAAGATGGTAAATTACGATTTTGTGTGGATTTTCGGAAGTTAAATAAAGTGTCGGTGGCAGATGCGTATCCCCTGCCGCGTATGGACGATTCTCTCGACGCCTTGTCAGGGGCTAAGTTTTTTTCAACGCTAGATCTCTCTTCGGGCT